TCTCTGGAGAATGAGATGGGTAACAGATTTTTTATTTTATTCTTTGAATCTCATTTACAAGCGAGCACACCATTTCTAATTTTAAAACTCTACAGGAGGGAGATGGGCCTTTCTGCAGGTAAGCACAGCAGAGCATAACAGACTCACGCCAGGCTACGGGACCCTGCCCTGCAGGAGGACCCATGTGCAGAGAGGGGTCCTTCCCTTGCAGAGGCCGTGGGACCACCCTCCTGCTTGATGTTTCCCTCTCCTGGGGAGGAGGATGAGGGCTGAAATGAAGGGCAGCATTGGACTCAGGCTCACTTACAAAAATATGGAAGTCAGAACTTTATCCCAAGAAACAGATGGACTTGTCCCCCTGAGCTTTCACAGCTTTTCACAAGCCAAAAGCCAGGAGCAGGACAGGGCTCACCAACAACTCAGCACTAAGAAACCTTGTTTAGGGGCTTCCCTGGTGGCGCAGTGGTTGAGAGTCTGCCTGCCGATGCAGGGGACACGGGTTCGTGCCCCGGTCCGGGAAGATCCCACATGCCGCAGAGTGGCTGGGCCTGTGAGCCATGGCCGCTGAGCCTGCGCGTCCAGAGCCTGTGCTCTGCAACAGGAGAGGCCACAACAGTGAGAGGCCTGCATACTGGTGGGGGGGGGGGAAGAAACCTTGTTTTCCCAGGGAGTGGAGTGGGGGTCTGGAAGTCACAATGAGAGAGAACAGAAGTCTGCAAACAGAAAGTATGACGGAACTGGGATTAGAAAGGAAAAAAAAAAGGAATAGAAAAAGGAGGAAGGGAGGGAATCTGGCAATTTTGTTTAAGGGCAGTTTTGGGGGTTTTTTTTGGCCACACCACGTGACATGTGGGATCTTAGTTCCCCGACCAGGGATCGAACCTGTGCCCCCTGCATTGGAAGCGAGGAGTCTTAACCACTGGACCACCAGGGAAGTCCCTTTACGGGAGGTTTATACGGCTGTTAATCTATGATTCATTCCCTCCTCTCACCCCCGGAAATGAAAATAGGTTTGTTTTCCCAATTCTGAAAATACATCAGTACATCTAGAACTGGAAGGATACCCCCCAAACTTTGGGAATGCGACTATGGATTTGGGGGGGGAAACAATTTTTTTACACTAAGTCCTTCTGTATCTTTTGTATGTTTTTAATAATAAAAATGTATCTCATACTTTTTGTATCATCACATTTAAGGCCATGCTACCGTAGCAATACCACCAAGCATGCCTCTTGTCTTTCTGGTTTTCTTTCCCTCCCTCTCTCCTTCCTCAGGCTGGTCCATGCCCTGAAGCTAAGAACTCAGCACCCAGGCATCTCTGAGCAGTGACAACAGGCAAAAGTAAAACTCCAAGTTTCCTTAAAAAGTGCAACACAGAATGACCATATATCACCAGCAATTCCACTCCTGGGTTGCTACGCAAAAGAACTGAAAATAGATGTTCAAACAAACTGGTGCCCGAATAGTCACAGCAGCACTAATCCTAATAGCCAAAATGTGAAAACAACCCAAATGTCCATCAACAAATGAATGGATAAAAACAAATGTGGTCTATCCATACAACAGAGATTATCTAGCCATAACAAGGAATGAAATACTGATACATGCTACAACACAGATGAACCCTGAAAACAGAAAGTGAAAGAAACCAGACATAAAAGGTCACATGCTGTATGACTCCTTTTCATATGAAATATCCATAATAGTCAACTCTATACAGACATAGAACAGACTGGTGGTTGCCAGGGGCCAGGGGTGGGAAGGAATGGGGAGTTACTGCCTAATGGATACATGGGCTCCTTTTGGGGTGATGAACATGTTCTGGATCTAGAGAGAGGTGATGGCTGCACAACAGCGTTAATGTACTAAATGCCACGGAACTATACACTTTACAGTGGTTAAAATGGTAGAGTCTATGTTGTGATATGAATTCTACCTCAATTAAAACAAAATAAAGCAAAATTCCAAACTGTGTGACCTTGGGCCTCTCTGAGCCTACAGAATGGTCAGATGACAGCATGATCACACAGGCTGGTTGTGAGGCTTCCAAGTGATGTGTGTGTAAAGTGCTTGGCACGGGCTGGGCGTGTAGAAGGGGACCAGTGAGCAATGAAGCTGCCCCCGCCGGGACGATGATTATTACGTGGCACTGTGAAAGCCAACTCACCTGCAAGTGGTGGGGTTTCTGTGTTGTCAAATTGTCCTTTAAGTTAAACACCAACAACCAAAAGACAGTTGGGGAGGGGTGTTATGTAAGATGAAAGACTAAAGAAGAGAGTGGCTCTTCTCTGTTTATGGTATATTTATATCTAGATTATATTTATACTAGAATTCTCTCCTGTGTTAAGGTGGGAAATGCAGTTAACTTGGTCATAGGAAGGCAAAGGGTGGCTTTGCCAGTGGTCCCTCATGGAACAACCCACAAGCTCTTACTTTTCTGCCCCCTTCCACAGGCTTGGAGACATGCGTCCTTGACTGGCTCCTGTTTTATGGGGGCAGAAGGCGCTATGTGTAGGTGAGAGGGCTCCACCTATGCAAAGGCCCTTACCTGGAAGCAGCTTTAAAAACCTAAGAATGGACAGATGGGGGCAAGAAGGACTGTCGCCCTTCTTATCTGGGAATTAATTATTTGCAACAAAATTAGCAGAACTCAGAACTTCCTGAGGCAAGGTGAACCCCCTTGTGGCTGACAATTGGCCTGGGGAGAGGGGAGGGAGGAATGAATAGGATTTCAGGCTGTCATGGAAACTTTTCTTTTCTGGGGCCTCTGAGCATATGGCAGGTGTCCTGAAAAATCCGTTCCTGCTGCCCAAGGCTGGCTGCTGTCCTCAGACATGTGGGTGAGGGCCTCTGCCTCTCCCTCTGAAAGGCCCCCTCCCTCTGCCACGGCAGCAGGCACAAAGGAGTCCCCAGTGCGCACCTCTCATCCCATCTCCCCAGACAGATGCCGGGAGCCTCGATGAACCCATGGAAATCCGAGTCCCCTGCCCCCAGGGCCCTCGAGGCAACCCGCAGACCACAGACGGCCAGAGGCCACGGTGCAGACTCCTCGAGGGCCGCTGCAGCGGGGACAAACCCCCCAGCTCCTCCCAAGACGAAACAGAGCTGCGTGCTGATTTGAGACTTGGAAGTAGTGAGCAGACTGGACTCCCAGCAGCAAGACAGGCTCCCCTGTATAACATGGGAAATCCAGCTGGCTCAAGGTAGAGAAAATCACAAGTCAGGAGGCTGTAAACCCAGAGCAGCCAAAGGGATTAAGATAACAGCAGGTGGCAGGTGCCAGGGTGGAAAACAAGGCAGAATTCTGAAAACTCTAAAGCCATGTGTCTGGACCTGGGTGATTGTGCTGGAGGGTTTCTAGCAGCGTGCCAGGGACAGACAAAGCCACAGGAGAAAATGGGCATGGTGGTCTCAAAGCATCAGAGGGAATCAAGCACTGGGGAATGGGGAAGGGACCCATAAAATAAAATAGGACAATAACATATTGTAGCGGAGAATGTAAGATCTGATTGAATTTTAAGGAGAAAAGACTAGATGTCAAGGAAATGTGACTGCAGCTGGCCACTTTGGGGTGTCCCGCTCGTCTGCATGAAGGGCAACTTGGCCCAGCTCTAAGGGAAACTCTGGCTCCATTCATTTCCTTTAGCCCACAGATATTGTTTTCATTTTATTTCATTTTATTTTCTTTGGCCACACCACACGGCATGTGGGATCCTAGTTCCCCAACCAGGGATAGAACTCCCGCCCCCGGCACTGGAAGCACGAGAGTCCACAAATCTTATTTTTTGAGGCCTTACTATGTGTTCCTTTCCCTCCCTGAAACTCACTGCTTAGCGGGGGGACGTGAGTGTCAATCAAAAGTCCATGAGGCCATGGGGCTGTACCTCAGGGAGGCCTTATGTACACCCCACTCCCAAGGCGGCAGGGGAGGCTTTCTCGGGGATGTGAGTACAGGGCCCAATTGCCATTTAACCAGGACCAGATGGGCAGGGGGAAGGAATGGGAAGTGCTGTGGGCAGAGGGAACAGCATGTGCAAAGATCTGTGACAGGAGGGGCTTGGCTGGAACCCAGGGATGGAAGAGGAGGAAGGCCTGAGGTCAGAGAGGCAGGACCCTGACGGACGGTCCTTCTAATAAGACTGTCGGTAAATCAGGGGGCAATTTTTAGTTGCAGCGTGGCATGGCAGACTGTGTTTTAAGCAGATGACCAGAGTAGTAGTAGCATATTCATTTCCTACCTAGGCAGACAGAGGGTCAAAGCCATGCCGTGTTTTGTTTTGTTTTTTAAGATTTTTTTTTTTTTTGACGTGGACCATTTTTAAAGTCTTTGTTGAATTTGTTACAATACTGCTTCTGTTTTATGTTTTGGTTTTTTTGGCCGGGAGGCATGTGGGATCTTAGCTCCCCGACCAGGGATTGAACGCGCACCCCCTGCATTGGAAGGCGAAGTTTTAACCACTGGACCGCCAGGGAAGTCCCCATGCCATGTGTTTAGTGAGGCCTCACTGGAAGATACAAACTCCAAGAGGCCTGTGCCCAGGCCTGGAGACTACATAATGGGTCCTGCTTGGGGCCCACACAAACAGTCACATTTCTGAACACCTCTAAGAACAGTGGTTGCTAGGGCTCCCCCCCGCCAGCAATTTCAGAAGCCCCATGTCAGAAAGCAGGTGACATGGGGTCAAGTCACAGGTCTGGCACCATGCAGTTCTGGGCTCAAATCCTGTCTGCTGTAGATGAGCTGGGTGACCCAAGGCAAGTTTCTTAACCTCTCTGTGCCTCAGTGAAATGGGGGTACTAAAAGTATCTGTCTTCTAGTGTCACTGTGTGGATTCATTAAGATCAAGCTGCTAAAATCCTCATCCCTTGGCCTGGTACAGTATAGATGCTAAAGAAAATGTTGGTTATTATTACTATGGTTCGCATTCAGCTAAGGATGAACACGGAAGACGTGCAAAGACCGTGGAAATGTAGAACGATTCGGGAGCGCCCGGGCTCACCGGGTGAGGAAACGGCACGGGGAAAGAAGTGGGTTCCACGTACTTGCGAGCAGAAGGCAGGAGACGGCCACGGCATAGAGCTGCTTGGAGGTGGTGATGTTATAGCGATCCAGGAAGTGGTCCAGCAGGTAGACGGCCAGGTGCCGGGCAGCGGGGCAGAGCTGGCAGTGGCTGCTCAGCAGGGTTAAGATGTCAACAAAGAACCGGCGGCTCTTCAGGAGCGGGGAGTGGGCTCGGAAGGTGGGCAGCTTCAGCTCCTGGAACAGGCAGGGCAGAAGGGGGGTCAGGGCTGTCTCCCGAGAGCCTCAGAGGCCCACCTGCTGGCTGGTGAGGAAGCATCGATTCCCTCCGCACCCTCTTCGTTTTCCTTCAAGTCCCAGGATGGCAGTCCCTCTATTCTAGAAACTCCTGGACCGTCTCCCACCTGCCCTTACGGAGCATAGGCTCGTAAAGTGTCAAGAACATGAAGACAGAGGCAGGTGAAGGAGCGGGTCATTCCCAGCAAAAGCTCGACTATCTGAGATGCACGAGGCCATAAAACATGTAGGAGGCCTTGAGTTGGAGACCCACATCCAAATCTTGGTTCCTCTAGTCAACCAGTTTGACGGACCCTGGTCAGCCTGCCTTCACCTTCATTTCTTCCTCAACAGCAGAGGATTAAATGAAAAATGGATGTGAAGCACCTGTTTTGAAAAAATTCACCGTAAAAAAGTTGTTAAAATAACAGTACAAAGAACTTCCAAAGAGCCTTCACCCAGATTCATGAGTTGTTGACATTTTACGTTTTCTCTCTCTGCAGACATATGTGCTTTTTTCTAAAAGTAAGTTCTAGACATCATATGTCCCCCTAGGAGGTGACTTTTCCTTTGTAATTCATACACTGCCGTGTCACCTGAATTTATTTAGTCTAACGCAATAAAAACCAACAAGAGAAATGTCACCCAACCAAGATTTTTATGACGGAAAAATTTTTCTTGTATATCTACCATATTTATAATTTAACCAAAGTAGACAAGACACAATTTATTTAGAAAATGTCTTAGCAACATTTTGTCAAATAGGGAAACAAAACTGAGGAAAAACAGGAAAAGAAAAGCTGGCAGAAAGGGAATTGTGAGAGCTCACTAAGGGCAGCTTCCCTGGGGGAGGAGATTAGAACAAATTGGTGCCCAACCTCCGTCTAATGCCCTCTCTTAACCCTGGGGCTTGACTTAAACAGCAACAGCTCTGGGATGAGAAGATATCTGTTCACTCACTCATTCAAGAGATATCAGTTCATTCATTTCACTCAGTATCAAGTACCTCCTATACATCAGGCATTATTCTAGGCACAGGAGGTACAATCTGGAATGAGATAGACACAGACCTAAACGTAAGATTAAAACTATAAAACTCTTGGAAAAAACACAGGAGCAAATCTTCATGACTTTAGATTAGGCAATGGCCTCTCTGATCTGACATCCAAGAAAGAAGGAACAAAAAAAGAAAAAAATGCATAAGTTAGACTTCAAAATTTCAAAAGATAACATCAAGGGCTTCCCTGGTGGCGCAGTAGTTGAGAGTCCGCCTGCCGATGCAGGGGACACGGGTTCGTGCCCCGGTCCGGGAGGATCCCACATGCCGCGGAGCAGCTAGGCCCGTGAGCCATGGCGCTGAGCCTGCACGTCTGGAGCCTGTGCTCCGCAACGGGAAAGGTCACAACAGTGAGAGGCCCGCGTACCGCAAAACAAACAAACAAAAAACAACTAAAAAGGAAAAGATAACATCAAGAAAGTGAAAAGACAAACCACAGAATGGGAGAAAATGTTTGGAAATCATATATCAACAAGAGACTCTAATCCTAAATATATAAAGAACTCTTACAACTCAGCAATAAAAAGACAACCCAATTTAAAAATGGGCAAAAGGGCTTCCCTGGTGGCGCAGTGGTTGAGAGTCCACCTGCCAATGCAGGGGACATGGGTTCGTGCCCCGGTCCGGGAAGATCCCACATGCTGCGGAGCGGCTGGGCCTGTGAGCCATGGCCGCTGAGCCTGCGCGTCCGGAGCCTGTGCTCCGCAACGGGAGAGGCCACAACAGTGAGAGGCCCGCATACCGCAAAAAAAAAAAAAAAGGGCAAAGGACTAAATAGATATTTCTTCACAGAAGATATAGAAATTGCCAATAAGCACATGAAAAGATTCTCACATTACTAATCATTAGGAAAACGCAAATCAAAAGCACAATCAGATACCACCTCACATCCATTAGAATGGCTATTATAAAAACCAAAACCAAAAGAGAAAATAAACAAGTGTTAGTGAGAATGTGGACAAAATGGAACAAATTGGAAGCCTCAACACACTGCTGGTGGAAAAGTAAAATAGTGCAGCCACTGTGGAAAACGATCTGGCAGCTCCTCAAAATATGAAACATAGAGTTACCACATGACCCAGCAGTTCCAATCCTTGGTGTATACCCAAGAGATGGAAACACAGGACCACACAAAAACTTGTACTGGAATGTTGATAGTGGCATTATTCATAATAGCCCCCAAATGGAAACAACCCAACTGTTCATCAACTGATGAATGGAAAAATATGGTCTGTCCATCCCATGGAATATTATTAGGCCACAAAAACGAATGAAATACTGATATGTGTTACAACATGGATGAACCTTGAAAACATTATGTTAAGTGAAAAAAATCCAGTCATAAAAGGACACATATCCTGTGATTCCCTTTATATGGAATGTCCAGTATAGGAAAATCTGTTGACCAAAACTGCCTGCCTCAGCCAGGCACAATAATAACCACTTGCACGAGTTGTCTCACAACAGGAGGTCCTGATAGGGCACACTGCCGCTGAAAACTAACAAGGATAATTCGGGAGGGGCCAAAAGGAGGGAGGAGACACCGGCCCATAATATGTCCTGCCAACCTCCCAGAAACCCTCACGCTGGAATCCATCTTGGCTGAGAGATGCACACACCATCAGGAAGGACCCTAGTCAGACCAAACAGGGGCACAAGCAATATGACTGGCCAGAGACAACCTGGAAAGCTAACCCCATCACCATAAAACCTGAGACTGTGAGCCACGCGGCACAGCAGTTCTCCTGGGCTTCCTTATTCCACTGTTCTCTGCCCGGGCGCCCCTTCCCAATAAAGTCTTTTGCCCTGTAAGGATACGTGTCTCCTCGGACAATACATTTCCGAGTGTTAGACAAGAGTCCACTCTCGGGCCCTGGAAGCGGCCCCCCTTTCGGTAACAAATCCATACAAACAGAAAGATTAGCAACTGCTGGGAGCTGGGGGCAGTTGGGGAGGTTAGTGGCAGGGGGACCTGCCAATGGATATGGGGTTTCTTTTAGGGATGATGAAAATGTTCTGAAATTAGATAGTGTGGATGGTTGCACAACTCTGTGAATACCCTAAAAGCAACTGAATGTATACTTCAAAAGGGTGAATTTTATGGTGTGTGACTTGTATCTCAATAAAGCTGTTGTAAAAAAATAAGATGGACACATCACCCACTCTCATGGAGTTTACGGCCCAGTTAGAAAGAGATGGCCATCAAAGAATAAGGCAACTGCAGAATTCCAAACCATGATCAACACTACGGAGGAAAGCTGTGGACTCTGGGAAAGCTCCTCTGAAAGCGAAGCCTGGTGGAGATTTCATGCTGGGATCTCTTTTCTTCTGGCTTATTCCCCCAGAGCCCTGAGTCCACAACACAGCTCTCTCAGTAGCCCTAGAGCTGTGCTCAAGGAAGATGCCCAAAGCCTGAATCAATTATTTCCTGTTCCTAACATTATACGTGAAGAAACTGAGTTTGACAAAAGTCCTACAAACCCCAGGGCTTAACTAGCTAGCAATATTAGATCTGAGACTAGAAGAATTTTAATGTATCCTTTTTCTCAACCTTTTATTTTTTTTTAATCATGGAGAAAATCTTTTTTTAATAAACAATTTTTTAATTGAAGTATAGTTGATTCACAATATTTTGTTAGTTTCAGGCGTACAGCAAAGGGATTCGGTTAACATATATATATATATTTTCAGATTCTTTTCCACTATAGGTTATTACAAGATATTGAATATAGTTTCCTGTACTATAAACGATCCTTATTGTTTATCTATTTTATATATAGTAGTACGTATCTATTAATTCCATACTCCTAATTTATCCACCCCCCCCTTTGGTAACCATAAATTTGTTTTCTATGTCAGTGAATCTGTTTCTGTTTTATAAATAAATTCATTTGCATTGTTTTTTAGATTCCACATATAAGTGATATCACGTATTTGTCTTTCTCTACCTGACTCACTTCACTTAGTATGATAATCTCTAGGTCAGTCCATCCACGTTGCTGCAAATGGCATTATTTCATACTTTTTTATGGCTGAGTAATATTCCATTGTATATACATGCCACATCTTCTTTACCCAGTCATCTGTCAGTGGACACTTAGGTTGCTTCCATGTCTTGGCTATTATAAACAGTGCTGCTATCAACATTGGGAAGCATATATATTTTTGAGTTAGAGCTTTTGTCTTTTCTGGATATATGCTCAGGGGTGGGACTGCTGGATCATACGGCAATTATATTTTTAGTTTTTTAAGGAACCTCCATACTGTTTTCCATAGTGGCTGCATCAATTCACATACCCACCAAGTATAGGAGGGTTCCCTTTTCTCCCCATCCTCTCCAGCATTTATGATTTGTAGACTTTTTCAATCATGGAGAAAATCAACTTCTTTATGGAAAAGATCTGACTTCTCTGTGTATTATTCATCTGCATTGTTTGATGGATTCATGCTGCTCCTTGAATGCGGGGGTCTGGGTCCACTCTTGCTTATGTTTGTTTTGCCACCACCCCGGTGTGATGAGAACATGGTCAGGTGCCCGAAACTGAATAGTGAAGGAGTGAAGGAAGGAAGGGGAACAGGAAGGGAAGGACTGCAGTGATGAGTACCAACCACCCGGGGCCCAGAGGAAGGTGTGGCTATCTGTGTAGAGTAGCAGGTCCGTGGGGACTTCAAGGAGAAGAGACCTGTCTAGCCAAATTCTGGAAGGATGTCTAGGAATTAACCTGTTGAAGAAGCAGGAAGGAAAGGAAGCTAAGCAGGAAAAACAGCGCCTGCAAGGCCACACTGGTGTCCCGTCTGGGGAATCTGGAGCCCTTGGAACAGCCGGAGAGGGAGGGTATGCTTGAACAAAGCAGGCTGCGAGGGTGGGCAGGGTCCCAGCCTGTATGTCCTGCTAAGATATCCG